ACAGGCACCGGTGTTTATGCGTGCTGCATGGTGATTGGTGAGTGGTGGTGAGCTGACGTCGTCGTGACACGGTGTGCCCCTGGCCTGGCGTCTCTAGTACCGTATGTGTCATGTCAAGAGGTGATAATCACAATCTCATCTACAGGTGGCCCGCACCGCCTGTCGTCATCGTCGTGAGGAAATTTGAAGCACGGGTGCTGCCGCTCTCGGTGCTGTGCGTCAAGCCGTCAACGCACGGCTGGAGACGGAGAAATACAAGACAAGTGAACTACGACTCTGGTCCGGCTAGATCGGGTCGTGATCGTCACGATCAACTGGAAGCAGCAGTCGTTCCCTGATTACATCCTGCAAAGTACACCTTGAGAAAAATGCGAAACGACAGAGTTCCAAGAGAAAACACAGGAATAGAATAAAATAAAAAGTGAAAATCCATGACACAGGAATTGCAACTTTGAGATGTTTAGATTGGGAATTTGGAAAGATCAATCATCACATGTCTCTAAACAACAAATCAGTGACCAACATTGCTAGTATTTTTTTTAAAGGGGAGACCTTAATAATAGAAGGTCAACATGATTACAACCGCGGGCTAAAGCCACCGACTAGGGATGAAAACGGATCGGATACGAACGGATATCGTTGATACCATATTTGTTTTCATATTTCTGCTCGGATTCGGATTTGAACACAGATAGCTATCGGATTCATATACGAATACGGATTATCTCGGTTATAGATACGAATAGTGAGTATCGAATACGGTATGAATCGGATTCGGAGAACGTCGAATACAAATATCTTTTCGGATATTAAGTAAAAGCAACGTTTATATATCATAGAGGTGCCCAAACCATTAAACCACTCCATGAGTCTATAATCCATCTAGATTAAGCCTGAGGCAGAGATGTGATGTGTTGGTAGGCTTTGTACTAGTTTATTGTATGTACATAAACATACGTACTGTAGTACTTTATGCTTTGAGTTTATAATACACAAATATATTTTTAACAAATAAATGTGGATGAAATAAGTTTGGGCTCAACATGGAACTACCAGGCAAGGCCTCCCCATCTGCCCATGCGCTGCACTTCCTTCGCTACTCCACATACTTAAACGGATAGTATCCGGACGGATATATCCGTTTTTTTACTCGGATTATCTGTATCCGCCGGATACCGACGATATCATATTTGTATTTGATATCCGTGTAAACTATCCATTTAAGTATCCGTATCCGGGAAAAATTCCGAATATCCACATAATTATCCATTTAAGTGTTTATATTTGTTCGGTCAAACGGACGGTCGGATAAATATCCGTACCATTTTCATCCATACCACCGACACACAGGTCCGGGATGTCATTAGCAACAGAAACATATGAAAGCTCTCTCCTACGAAATTGACACAGCTCATGGGCTACCTCATTTGCACTCCGACGACACTTGGAGATTCTGACTTTCTGAAAGTTCTTGAGGATTTCCTTCGCTTCTTCTATGGTATGGCATAATATAGATCGGTTTTTGCACTTGTCTTCTAGATGATGCACTGTTGCGAGGCAATCAGATTCCAACCAGAGGCACCCTTTCCACAAAAGATAATGTGTGCTTTAGACCCATCCACGCAGCTAGACATTCCGCTTCTTCAGCCAACTTGTATAGTTGATCGCTTGACCATCCTGGGAACAAAACCTCGCCCATATGGTTCCTTGCAATGAAATCAAGTCCGGCATAACTGGAGAGGGGGTCGAAACCTGCATCAACATTTAGTTTTATCCAATCGAGGGGAGGCGGCGACCAAGGAACTTTGTCTTTTATGTCATTCTGAGGAGCAAAGTAGTGTTGTACAGGCTACGGATTACTGATTTCTTTGCCCTTTCCATGTGCTGGCAGATTGTTGTTTGGTTTCGTCGAGACGATATAATTCTGAAGGAATTCTACTAAAGCAGATATAGGACTTTCTCCTTTTCCGAAGATGATATCATTTCTAAGGTGCCAGGTTCTCCAAAAAAGGAACATCAATTTAGCTCTTGCCTCTTTGTTGACAGTATTTAGGACTAGCATCCATTCAGGTCCTGTGTAAATAAACAGACTCTCCTCAGGGAGGTCCCAAACTTGGCGTAGGGCATGTCGTAGAGCAACAGCTTTCGTGCATTGGACCATAGCATGGTGATCATTTTCTGGTTCCAGGCTGCAGATGGAGCAAGTGGCATCCGGGATTAGGTGATGTTTCAGTCTGTTTGTTTGCACAGCCAAGCCATTCAGGGCCAACTTCCAGGTGAAAACTTTTATTTTCTGGGGCACAGGGGTTGCCCATATTGCCTCAAAATTCTTCCTATCAGCAGATGAGCTTGTACTGCAGTCATTGGAATTTAACTCCACAGCAAGTTTATATGCACTCCTAACAGAGAATATGCCATTTTTCTCAAAGTGCCAGGCAAGGATATCCATACCTTCAATTTCTGGAATCCTGATGTTGAGAACTTCTTCAGCTTCATGCTGAAAGAAAATTTGCTTGATGAGTGATTCATTCCAGCGTCTTGGATTATTTAGAAGCAAATCAGACACTCTGCGGATCCTGGTGACTTTTGCTGGTCTGGAGACTTTCAGTGAATTTGATTGAGGTATACAATTATCCCTCTAGATTTGGATGTTTTGGCCATTATTTACTCTCCAAATGGTTCCTTTTTTTAAGAGGTCAAGCCCATACTCAATGCCTTTCCACATTGGGGAGGAGTTTGCTGGAAAGCTAGTGTCTAGCAGATTTCCTTGAGGATAATATTTAGCCTTTAGCAATCTTGCGCAGAGGCTATCAGGTTGCTGTAAGAGACGCCACCTCTCAGCTTTGGTTTGGTGAGCTTATCCCAAGCGAGCCAATGGATTTTCCTTCTTTCGTGTTCATCTCCCCACCGAAAATTTCTTATCATTTGTTCAAGTTCTTGACCTGCAGAAAATTTAAAGATGCTCATAGCATAAGTAGGAAGGCTCTGTAGAACAGATTTAACAAGGATTTCTTTTGCCCCGCTTGAAAGGTATTTCTCTGACCAGTCATTTGCACGCTTGCTGAAACTCTCCTTTACACTTCGGAATTTTCCTTTAACCATTCTCCCTTCAGGAACTGGAAGACCCAGATATTTTTCCTCTGTCCTTCTGTTTTGTGTTTCCCAGCAGGAGTTGATAGTTTCTATATTACTGTCAGAGCAGTTTCGTCCAAAGAGAACACTGCATTCGTTTTTTCTGATCAATTGCCCTGTACTCTTCTCATATGTGCTCAGGATATTTTTCACTTTTAGAGCTTGCTCTTCGTTGGCTTGAACAAAAAGTAGACTGTCATCGGTGAACAGCAGGTGTGAGATCCCTCGTTCCTGGAGATGTGTAACTCCTTTAACTGACCTGTAGAAATTTCTTTGTTTATGATAGTAGACAGACCATCAGCAACCAGCAAGAAAATATACGGGGACAAAGGATCTCCCTGTCTCAGGCCCCGAGAAGGGGTGATAGAGTCGAGGAGATGACCATTGAGGCGTACTGAAAATTTGACGGTTTTTATACATTCCATTACCCATGAAATCCATTTCTCTTTCGAAACCCAATTTTTCTATAGCCTTCTCGATGTAGGTCCAGTCCACTCGGTCGTATGCTTTAGCCAGGTCCAATTTATAGGCACAAAATTCCCCTCTTCTGTCATTGCAGTGTTGGATGGCGTGGAGGCATTCAAAGGCTATGATAGCATTGTCTGTGATCATGCGGCCTGGGATGAAGGCACTTTGGGTTGGTGCAATAATTTCATTCATGGTGGGACGGAGTCTGTTTACCAAACATTTTGAGACCACCTTGTATATGACGTTGCACAAACTGATAGGTATGTAGTCTTTGAGCTTCTTTGCTTCTTTGTTTTTTTGGGATTAGCACAATTACTGTATCGTTCACTCCTTCAGGCATATGAGAAGAAGAGAAGAACTGTTTAACTCCTTTGATCACAACATCTTTCAGCAGGTCCCAATTTGTTTGGAAAAATCTAGCTGGAAATCCGTCAAGACCTGGGGCTTCTAAAGGTCCTATTTGGAACAAGGCATCGCTTATTTCCTCGTTGGAGAAATCTCTAAGTTCATGTCTGCATTTACTCTCTTTTGCATGTGTTCTGTAATTAGATCAGGATTTACTGAATCATCTTTTGTGTATAGCTTTGAGAAGAACTCATTTGTCAACTTTCCCATATGGTCTTCATCTGTCACTATTCGGCCATTATTGTCTAGTAGGCTAGAAATCCTATTTTTCTTTGCTCTCCAGGAGGCCTTCCTATCAAAGAAACTAGTGTTTTTATCTCCTTCCTTTAGCCATAGGGCTCTAGCGCTTTGGCGCCATAGAATTTCTTCTTTGTGCAGCAGTTCCTCCATCTCAGCTAGGAGCTTTTTCCTTTCTTTGTGACTGTTGGTGTCATTCTTTGTTGCCAGGACTTCTAGTCTTTTTCTATAAATGCCCAATTTCTTTGGAACTGGCCCTATTGTGTTTTTGCTCCAGGTTTTTAGGTCAGCCATGACCCCTTGTAGCGTTGATGCAATCTGTCCCAGATCTTCATTTCCTTCGTTTTTTTGCCAAGCTTCTTTTATGGTGTCATCTCGATGGTTCTCTCTCCCAGAACGCCTCATATCTGTAGCACTGTTTAAAATTCCTCTGCGCCTGTGGTTTGAACAGTTTGAGCAGGAGGGGACATGCTAAAGTGATTAGGAACTTTATTGTTTCCATCCAAGAGGTGGAGTCTTGTACTACACATCAGGTCCCCTAACATTTTGCGTTGCGTTGTGCATAACAGACACTACACTACTAGTACGTAGAACACAGAAGCAGACCGACCCCATTTCATTGTACTACATATGGACGTACGTAACTAGAGCATCAATATATCATCTTCGAGTGAAGATGTTTGAACTACAATATCATACATCTGTAGAAGTTCATAACAGTCTGTAGCCTCCAATGAACCGGCGAAGAGCTCATCACATCACTGTGCCGGCTTGCTGTGTCGCAGGCAGAAGGACTTGAGCCTGTCAAGGCCGTCTTCGAGAGAAGGCGGATCAATTGCAAAGGTGATCCGGAGCCAATCCTTGCATCCCACAACACGTCCTGACAATTTGTTTCCAGCATGCATGTTACATTACATCTCACACACAAAAGGTGATCGATCTCAAGGTGGATGGAAAAATGTCTTGTACTACTAAACAGATGAACCGATCTGTATTAGTTCTAGAACTATAGTTTCAAAAGAATCAATCATGTATATATTCAGGAGAACAATAGAGCACCTGGCAGAACAACAACTGATTCTTCCTTTGCCAGCCGGCAGCAGAAGTCCATGTCATCTTTGATGTCCTGCAGGCAGGACAGATCCAGCTTCACCTGTAGCAGGTCATGGGAATTTCATACCAGTCTGTTAGTGTTAGCGAATCACTCATGATGTGTTTTGCTTTTGCAACATGGAAGAGTATATATATGTAGTGACTAATCACAGACCATTACAAACATGGATCCCATTGGTTTGCTTGGGCATGTGATTGCGTTGGTGCCATTCAACTTCTCCCAGCATATGTCTGCACTTTCTTTGAGAATTTTGATGGTTTTTTGGAAGAATTCCTCCTTTGAATTCTCCAGGAGGTTTGGGACTGCTCCCTAAGAAACAGAATTTTGTGATGTGATTTGAGTCCATGCAAACCATTATATTTCCTATGCACAATGTCAAGGCTTGCAAGAAAATGGCAATGCAGTTATAGCCACCTGAACAAATGTTGTAGGATCAGAGCAGATATAATGGTAGGTCCTGATGCTAGCGGCTACCTGAACTGAAAGAAGAAAAAACATGTCCAATTAAGCTTTACTATTAAATCAGGTATGTCAGCACCCAGGACATTCGGTTAAATGAAATACTGAGTACCACATAACCGATGTTAAAGCATGAGAAGTAAATTAAGAACCTTGGTTCTCTGAAATACACCACTAGGATCATTGGTAACAATCCATCCAAGCCACCAACCAGGCACCAGCCATCTCTTTGATAATGACCCCAGTGTGATCACTGGAGCCACAGCCCCAAACACACCCATCGGCACAAATTTCCTCTCTCCAAATGTCAAGTGTGCGTAAACCTCATCTGCTATGACAAATATGCCAAGCTTCCGCGCGGTCTCAGCAACCTAGAAAATCATGGACACAAATAGGCATTCAGACTATCCCCCCAAAACGGTCAACTAAGGCAGAACCAGAAGTAGCTTATTAAAACTTGCCTTGGCCAGGTGCTCATAGGAGTAGACATTGCCACATGGGTTTCCTGGGTTGATAATGACAATGGCAACAGTATTCTTGTCAGCAAGAGCTTGGACGCCATCAGTGTCAACCTCCCAGTCTTTCTCAGGTAGAAGATCGAAGTACCGGGCTTCCATTCCATTGAAAACAGCGCGCGCCTCATAGAACTTGTAGCCAGGCCTTGGGAGCAAGATGTTGGCACCAGGACGAGCTAACACAGAGCAGACTATCTCAATTGCTTGAGCACAGCCGTTTGTGAGGTAGACATCATCAATTGACAATTCATATGGCAAATCACGCGATAAGTACTGTGCAATGGACCCGAAATTTGTCGTTTTAAACCACCGTAAGACAAATATGTTAATTTAGAGATGTGAAGAACAGAGATGTATAATAGAATCTGTAGTAACTGGAAAAAAATTAACACTGTGTAGTTTTTACTGCAAGAAATATACATAAATGTCTGTCAGGAGAAAATTTCAGTGTCCAAGCTCGTAAGTACCAAGAGACTGGACACAAAGCGCAGGTGCAGGATTCAGTTTTTGTTTGTTATGACCCTGAGCACGTGACAGTCCTGTACTGATGGGATAACAAAAAATCCGGAAAACATGAAACGAAAATGTCATGACTGATCAGTGATCACAATCTAAGAATGTGAATCTTATAGTTGGAACATGAACCAAGGTGTAAAGCAATATTTCCCCTTGTATTGTTGATATTAGTGGCTATCAAAGCAAGCTGGCCAGGACAACATTGGCAGATGTGAGGTTCAGTTATTCCCAAACAGAGCATACATAGACTGTGTTCACTAGAATTGGCTATTAAAATCATGCTGACTTCAGAAATAAGACGGGGAAGTCAAAGGGCCTTTCCACGGCTGGGATAATCCAGATGCTAAAAAATCCGAAAGATACGATATTAGTATTCATTTAACGCAATATGGATATCCATATTCATACGGAATTCTAATATGCATAATACACAGGTGTATCCGAATTCGTTTTTTCTCTATTCATTTCGAAATCCGTATTAAAAAAAGTAAAGGAATGATACCATATATCCGTATAAAAATCCTGTTTGTGTGGTATCCAGAGCACCAGTCCAACAGTGATTCACTTGTCTATTTGTGGTATATATGGTATCATTCCTATTCCTAGTTGTGAAATGCCAGCACCAGTTTACTCATCACTCTATTTAAGTATAAATGTCCATGTAGCCCAGGGCACGACGGCCCGGCCCGAAGCACGGCATTTTAGCCCGACACGAGCACGGCACGGCCCGGTGAGCAGCGGGCCCAGGCCAGCCCGGCCCGATACACAGGGCCGTGCTTGGGCCCCTGCTCAATCACGGCGGGCGGCACGGCACGGCCCGGTCCACAAGGGTCGGCCCGGTGGCGGCCCGGCCTGCTAACATCCCATTATCCCACCACTAGGCTAACGGTGGCCGCTAACCCTAACTCCCTCTCCCCTCTCACTCTCTCTCTCGCCCATCCAGCGCAGGGCCATGGGAGCGCGGCCCCCTCCCAGCAACGCCGCACTCTCGCCCTCTCGGTCGAGGGTCGCCCCACTCTCCTCAGCTCCTCCCCTTCTCACCTCGCAGACGCGTCGCAGGCTCGCAGCTCACGCTTCCCTTTCATGGCCTCGCCTCTTCCCCACGCGTGGCGGCGTCTCCCTCGTGTGCGGCCGTCTTCCTCCCACGCGGCGTCCCCGCCCAGATTCGAGCAGCGACGGCCGGATTCAAGCGCGTCGGCAACCGCCTCCTAGCCCTCCTCCATGCCTCCCTGCGAAGCCCCACCTCCAGGGCGAGCGCGGCGGCTGCCGAATCTGCCTCTGGGCCAAGTGCGCCGGCGGCGGTGGCCGTCTCGCGTGGCTGCCCTTCCTTCTGCTCTCCCCTTCCCTTTGTGGGCCTCGGGCTGGTCTGGCACGCTGGATGGGTCGTGCTTCTCGAGCCGGGCCGGCCCAAAAAACGGCCTAGCAGGCCGTGACTGCCCGCACGGCCTGCGTGGCACGGCGTGCCGTGCTGGCCCGACTCCCTTCGGTCCGGGCCTGTCACGGGCCCGTGCCGTGCCGGACCGGGCCGGACCGTTGAACATCTATATATTTAAGCATGATTTGCATGCATCTAGAAATAACTTGAGCAAAGGAAGCATCAGAGATAGAGAAGCAGCCGATCTGTTGAGCGGCCAAGAAGTCAGTTTCAGTCGTCTCACCTGTGTGCGGGCTCAAGGCCGACGCAAGTGGAGTAGGAGTTGTACTCCCCGGACTGCAGCGCGCCGGCGACGGCGTCCACGGCCTCCGGCGCCGCCCGGAAGCACGGGAACGCGGACGGGTCGCCGTGCCCCATCGGGATCACCGGCCTCCCCCCGCCGCCGCCGCCGGCAACCATCTCGGCCTTGATCCTGGCCAGCACGCCGCGCACCGAGAGCGACATCAGGCCCAGGAGCCTCTCGTTCGGCTCGAAGTTCCACGAGTCCGGGATCGGAACAGCCGTCACCTCCCCATTGCTGGCGCTCTTCTCCATCGTGGTGGTTGCTCTGGGGCTGCGAGAGAGGTTTGGCTTGGATGGCGGTTTGGCCACTGCGGGCTGAGGACAGTGGCGGAGTGGATGTGTGTGAATTGTGCCCGTCTCTACTTATAGCAGTGTTAGCAGAGTCTTACTTGGGGAGTAAGAAGGTGAGGCCGTGAGGGGAAGAGGGAGAGAGGAACCATCTTCATCTTGGGAAAGAAGAAGAAGAAGAGAGCAACAGAGTAAACAGAGCAGATGGCGATGAATGATTGAGAATTCAGAGATCGCACTACAAATGGTTACGTTACGTGTCGTCCTCTCCTTTTGTCCTTTTTTCTTCCCTTTATCAGGAACTCGTCTTATCATCATCATACATGCTAATCTGAATCTGAATCCCGAGTTTAAATATACAAAGAAGAAGTTTTTGATATCCATGTGGATGCAGAGTAAAATTATTAGTATTGACAAAATTTGATGGATGTAATTATCAGTTAATTAATAATATATTAATTACCCGAGTCTTATAATAGGATCATATGACTATTTAATTCCCAACATGTCCGGAAATTAAAAAAATTATGATAGTTCTTTTTTGTACATTGTATCTATAGATGTCCATTAGGGTCAAGCCTTAACAAGGGCACCAGGCACGGTCTGTTAAGGCCCGGCCTGAGCATGACACGGTCCGAATCTTATTGTGCCCGTGCCGGCCTGTTCCACACCTTAGTGTCCTGCTAGGGCTAGACCCCTAGCACGAGAAAGGTCCGTTAATCAGGGTGGCCCACTAAGGGCCGTCATAGCCATGATTTAGTGTGCCCATGCCGTGTCATGCCTGGCGGCACGTTTGGACATGTTTATTGTTATGAGCAGGTAGGTTCGCCAACAATGCTATTAGCTAATTACTACTGCTTTAGGCCTTAAATATGATTTTTTGTTATTATATAACCTAGTAGGCCGCTAGCCAGAATGAGTCAAATGACATGAATAATTTGTTCAGCTGCTGTTTTATGGCTTCCTTTTATAACTTATTTATTAGCGTATACATAAGCACATGTCAAGGTATCTGATTCCTCAACTAATATTTCAGTTATCCTAAGTTAAATCATACTATGATTGACCAAATTTGTATAAAACAATAATATTTATGACACCAAATTAGTAGTTATTAGATATATTTTTGTAATTTATCTTTTTAATATGATAGTTTTAGAGTTATGTCCAATTTATATTTACAACTAAACTTGTCGTTTAGTTTTAAAAACACTCTTGAACTCAAATTTTATAATTTATCCAACTTTTCAAACCGGATGAAATACCCCCTTGCCCACTTCAAAATGGTTTACTAACATATGAGCGGGCCCACATGTCAGGTGGTCTCTCACTTTCTTTTAGATGAGAAAGTCATAACCTTTTCATATTAAGTTGTATGAATACAAACATTATATATAACCTAGATTTGGATGCTGATTATTTGGACATGTAACTATAATGGATTTGATTTGCTAAGTTACGTAATGGATGTGGCTATTTTTCAATTTTCTTGCTGGTTGTAAGATAATTTTGTTGGCTTGCAATGGGATGTAGATTGTTCAATGGGCTGCAATGTATATCGTGGGCTGCAATGATTGTAAATGGACCGCCCATATAAAAATAGAGTCAAATAGATGTGGCCCGTATAAGAATGAGCCTAAAATGTGTAGTTTGGACCCACGTAAGAACTGGGCCTAATTCAGAAAAGAATAATGGGCTAGCTAAAAATAGAACGGGTTTTGTTGGGCCGTCAAAAAATTTGTGACTATTTAAATCTTCATATTAAACTGCCATGTCATATCCTAATCACAGCAACGTCATATGACAACAATATTTTACATCGTTTTTCATCCTATGTAGCACGTCCATGGTGAATGTTTTGCACGCAGAAACTATACATCTATCTGGAGAAGCCTTCTTTCTTTCCACGCAGAAACTATACATCTATCTCTTCTCTTCCTCACGTGTTCCAGCTGGGGAGAATTTTTATATTTTAATCATTTTTATTCAATATTATAATAATAATCGCTTAATTTTTTTTTATCTAATCCTTTTGGTCGCGCCAGTGGGGCTGACATGACCAAATAACGCTGTCGTGCCACATGCGTTAGCGTGACAAGATGTGCCACGTTGGACGACGTTTCCAACGTAGAAAACCTTGTCACGCCACTCCCGCTGGTGTGACAATATTTTTCTGTCGCGCCACCGGGAGTGGCGTAATCAGACTGAAATTTTGAAAAATCATAACTCTTTATAATACGACGTCGGATGAAGATACAATTTATATGAAAATTGTAGCCCCCGACGAGATCTACAACTTTCTAGTTTTGAGTTTTTTCATTTAAGGAGGTTAAGATGCTCAAAAAATTAATATAAAATTTCAGGACCATAATAATCGCGTATTAGTGCTTGTCGCATTAGAAAAATATTATCTTTTTTTTTGTACGTTGTCAAATAAAGATACTTTTTACATCAAAATTGCTCAATTAGATCTGCAACTTTATAATCTTTAGTTTTACATTTGAGGTCGTTAAGATGCACAAAAATAATATAAAATTTCAACAGCTTAATAATCATGCACTAGGTCTTGTCGCTTTACTAAATTAGATTTTTTCATGTTTGGTGTCAAATGAAGATATTTTTTATACTAAAGTCGTAGCTAACTATGAGATCAACAACTTTTTAATTTTGAGATCTTTCATTTGAGATAGTTAAGACACCCAAAAAAAATACAAAATTTAATAGCATGTTAATCATGTTTCAAAGCTTATCTTTTTAGAAAAATCATATATTTCTTATTTGATATCGCATAAAAATACTTTTTAAATGAAACTTGTAGATCTCATTAAGAACTACAACTTTGATATAAAATGTATCTACATTTGACATCATACAAAAATGATATTATTTTTCTAATGCGACAAATGCTAATATGCGATGCATCTTAACGACCTCAAATGTAAAAACTGAAAACTATAAAGTTGTAGATTTAATTGAGAGCTACAATTTTAATGTAAAAAGTATCTTCGTTTGATAACATACAAAAATGATATTATTTTTCTAATGCGACAAGTATCAGTACGCGATTAGTATGGTTCTGAAATTTTGTATTAATTTTTTGAGCATCTTAGGGTCCTCAAATGAAAAAACTCAAAATAAGAAAGTTGTAGATCTTGTCGAGTGCTACAATTTTCATATAAATTTCATTTTCATCGAACGTCGTATTAAAGAGTTATGATTTTTCAAAGTTTTATTCTTGTGAGGCCATTCTCCGTGACGCGACAGAACAATACTGTCATGCCAGCGGGAGTGGCGCGATAAGGTTTTCCATGTCGGAAACGCCGTCTAACATGGTAGATGTTGTCACGCCAATGCATGTGGCGCGACAAAACGTTATTTGGTCGCGCCAGTGAGACTGGCGCGACCAAAATGGTCAGATCCGCAAAAAAATTTTAGAAGCGATTATTATTAAAATATTAAATAAAAAAGATTAAAAATAAAAAAATCCTCCAGCTGGAGAAGCCTTCAGTTCTATCAGTTGAGCCTGAAGTAACACGGGTTGGGCTGTTAATCGTGCACTACAGGAGGCCCATCTTTGTTGCCACACTCGCCAAATCCTCTTCTTATGCCTGCTTCTTCTTCCAGCTTCTACAGATTGTGAATCACAAAGGACAATATATATTCTCCGCATTGTAAATTTTGAGTCATTTTGCTTTTCTAGGTGAATAATTTTTACCATGCATTTAAATATATGCTATGTCTAGATACATAGTAAAGACTACATATCTAAGATGCATAGTAAAGACTGTATATCTAGAAAACTAAAATGACTTATAATTTAGAACCATGGGAGTACAAGGGAAGTGGTGATTTCACTTTAAAAGTTATTAGGCCAAACTTGATGGATTCATGCAATAGGAGTCTTGTACATTTCAGATCCCTTAAAATTCGTCTTGTGCATACACACAACAGATGGCAGAGAAGAAGAGCCCATTGCTTATTACTGTGGACGTCGAGCATCAAATATATCATCTTCGAGTGAAGATGATACAACATATCATACATCTGGGTAGAAGTTCATAACAGTTTGTCTGGTGTCGTCGCACGGGACCAGTGAGTTTATCTTATCACTTTGTCGGCTTCTTGTATCGCAAGCAGAAGGACTTGAGCCTGTGAAGCCCGTCTTTGAGGGAAGACGGATCAATTGCAAAGGTGATCCGAAGCCAATCCTTGTATCCCACAGCACATCCTGACAGTTAGTTTCCCGCACGTTACATCTCAAATAAAAAGGTGATCTCAAGGTGGATGGAAAAATGTCTTGAACCAATCTGTATTCTAGAACTATAGATCGAAATGAATCATGTATTCGGAAGAACAATACCTGGCAGAACAACCACTAATTCTTCCTTTACCAACCGGCAGCAGAAGTCCATGTCATCTTTGATGTCTGACAGGCAAGATACATCCAGTTTAACCTGTAGCAAGTCAAGGGAACTTCACACATTGTTAGCAAATCGCTCATGGTGTCCTGAAACATGGAAGAGTATATATATATATTGACCCACAGACCATTACAAACATGGATCCCTATGGTTTGCTTGGGCATGTGATTGCATTGATGCCCTTCAACTGTTCCCAGCATATATCTGCACTTTCTTTTATAATTTTGATGGTTTTTTGGAAGAATTCCTCCTTTGTGTTCTCCAGGAGGTTTGGAATTGCTCCCTGACAAACAAAATTTTGTGATTCAGTCAATGCAAACCAATATTTTACTATGCACAGTGTCAAGTCTTGCGGGAAAGTCGCAATGCAGTTATAGTTACCTGGACAAATGTTGGAGGATCAGACGAGATATCAAGGTAGCTCTTGATGCTGCCCACTACCTGAAAGAAGAAAAAACATGTCTAAGCATTATATCACTGCATTTTACATGGTACCTTCATTTAACTCCAAAATCTGAAAAATAGGTTTTCTATGATCAGCCATGTCAGTACCCAGGCCATTTTGTTATATGAAATACAAACCAACTTCCAACACTGATTATCACATAACCAATGTTAAATCATGAAAAGTAAAGAACCTTAGTCATCTGAAATACACCATTAGGATCATTGGTAACTATCCATCCAAGCCGCCATCCAGGCACCACCCATTTCTTTGATATGGACCCTAGTGTGAACACTGGAGCCACAGCCCCAAACACACCCATCGGCACAAATTTCCTCTCTCCAAATGTCAAGTGTGCGTAAACCTCATCTGCTATGACAAATATGCCAAGCTTCCGAGCAGTGTCAGCAACCTAGAAAATCATGGACACAAATAGGCATTCAAGTTATTCCCCAAGAACCATTTACAAAAGGCAGAACAAGAAGTAGCTTATTAGAACTTACCTTGGCCAGGTGCTCATAGGTGTAAACATTGCCACATGGGTTTCCTGGGTTGACAATGACCATAGCAACAGTATTCTTGTCAGCAAGGGCTTGGACGCCATCAATGTCAACCTCCCAGTCTTTCTCAGGTAGAAGATCGAAGTACCGTGCTTCCATGCCATTGAAAACAGCGCGTGCCTCATAGAACAAATAGCCAGGCCTTGGAACCAAGATGTTGGCACCGGGACGAGCTAAGACAGAGCAGATTATCTTAATTGCTTGAGCACAGCCACTTGTGAGGTAGACATCGTCAGGTGACAATGCATATGGCAAATCATGGGATAAGTACTGAGCAATGGACCTGAAATTTAAGGTTTTAAGCCACCGTAAGGTAACTATATATGTTTAATGTTGTGAAGAACATAGATGTAAAATGGAATTCTTATTAATTGGAATAAATTAAGTGCTGTGTAGTTTGTGCTACAAAGATAATAACCATGGTCTGTCGGGAGAAAATTTCAGTGTCCAAGCTCCTAGGCATCAAGAGACTGAACAAATAGCATGTAGCACAGGTGCAGGATTCAGTCATTATTATTTTTTATGAACACAATCATGTAGCACTGATCGGATAACCAAATTTTTTTTACAGAAACATGAAATGAAAAATGTTATGGCTCATCACAATCTAAGGAAGTGAATCTTATAGTTGGAACATGAACCAAGGTGCAAAGCAATATTTGCCCTTGTATTGTTGATGTTAGTGGGTATCACATAAAGTTCACAGAGACAATATTGGCAGACACCAGACACAATGCTCAGTGATTCCCAAACAGAGCATGTTGACTCCAGCAATAATGAATTAATGGTGTACGAATCTTTTTTTCTGAAAAAGTGGGGAGGCAAACAACCTTTCCCTAGCATCAGTCAAATAGTTATTCACTTGTTTGTTTTTTTGGTATATTGTATCATTCGTACCCCGTGACTGTTTGCTATCACAGCAAGTTGGCCAAGACAATATTGGCAGATATAAGGTTCAGTGATCCCAAACAGAGCATAGACTGTGTTAACTAGAACTGACTATTGAAATCATGCTGACTCCAGCAATAATGAATTAACAGTGTACAATCTGTTTTCTGAAATAAGGTGGTGGTGGTGTGTGGGGGGGGGGAGTCAAACAGCCTTTCCACAGCAGCAGTCACTTATTTGCTTTCACAGCAAGTTGGCTAAAACAATTCTGGCTAACCGGCAGATGTAAGGTTCAGTGATTCCCAAACAGAGCACAGACTGTGTTAACTAGAACTGGCAATTAAAATCAGGCTGACTCCAGCAATACTGAATTAACGGTGTACAGTCTCTTTTCTGAAATAAGGTGTGGAAGTCAAAGGGCCTTTCCACATTACCAGTCCAGTAGTTATTCACCTGTCAGTCTGTGTTAACTAGAGCAGTTAACACAATGAAAAATGAAAACTTTCGACTGCGAAATGCCAGCACCAGTATATAGTAGTATACACATCGTTATTATTTCAGCATCAAGCAGTCGGATTTGCATCTAGATAGAAATAACCAAAGCACAGGAAGCAATAGGGGCATCTGCCAAGAAGTCACCTCACCTCCGTGCGGGCTCAAGGCCGAACGCAAGTGGAGTAGGAGTTGTACTCCCCGGACTGGAGCGCGCCGGCGACGGCGTCCACGGCCTCCGTCGCCGTCCGGAAGCACGGGAACGCCGACGGGTCGCCGTGGCCCATCGGGACCACGGGCCGCCCGCCGCCGCCGTCGGCCTCTACCATCCCGGCCTTGACCCTGGCCAGCACGGCGCGCATCGAGAGCGCCGTCAGGCCCAGGAGGGTCTCGTTCGGCGTGAAGTTCCACGAGGCCGGGACAGCCGTCGCCACCCCGTTGCTGGCGCTCTTCTCCATCGGGGCGCGGTGGTTGGTCTGGCCCTGCGAGCCTGCGACAGAGGTTTGGCTTAGTCGCCGGTAAACGATCGTAAATTTCCAGCTACACAGTGTTTTTTTCTTACGCCAAATTAACCAGCGGTAAATAATTCACGATCGTTTACAGCCTCCCGAACAGGCTGATTCACGATTGTTTACAGCCTCCCGAACAAGCTGTTTTGTTGTCTGGCGGTTTGGCCAGTTGGCCACCGCGAGCTGAGGAGATGTCGAGACTGTGTTATTAAGAAATTGATTACATAAGAATTGATATCAGCTGGTTTAGATGCGGTACTGGGATCGGCTCTCTTCAGATGACCTTAGCAGATAACGTCAATGAGCTACAGTTGGCGTCGGAAAAATATATCGGTTTCTACCAAAAGAAAAAGATTAGGGTCTAAGTTATCTTAAGTTAGAAATGTTTTCTTTTATTCCAAAGATTGTAATGAGTCGTATTTGAATATGATTCATGCTTAGGATCCGGTATAAATATTAGACCCTGGTTATTATAAGAATATACAATCAATCAATACCAATTACTTTTTTCGGCTTCACGCCAACCCTTACGAGTAGGAGTACTGTAGATCTCGGCGAGTTCTTCAACAAGCAGGGCTGCATCGATCCGGTCGACCTCTGGCTTGTCTGTAAGTACCGTCATGGCTTATACTTTTATTTGTAAGGCTGCATCGGTCCAACCAACCTCTTACGAGCTCTAGTATAAGTCAGTTATCCATCCTTATCTAATTCAAATACGGCTGTATCGGTTAAGTTCGACCTCCACTGCTCGAATTAGATTAAGGTCAAGTTATCGGCTCTGCCTAAAGGTGGCATCCTTCTGTTAGATTCATTAAGTTACCGATCTTGCTAATGTTCTTGTTGTCATTAGTTTTTAGCAATATCAACCTTCCCGATCGAGATCGATCTAGATCGATCTCACATCCTTTTAGTCCGTCGTTTATTTTGTCACACTACGATGGTTCTTACTTTAAACGACGGATAATGTTTTATCGGCTGTTTTACTTCGATCTTGATCGTGCATAGTATGCGGTTAAGACATGTCTGATCTTGAGAAGGTTTACTAGCTAGTTGAATCTGGTCTATAGCTCGCTATTATGGCTGTAACGATCCGGTCGATCCTCACTACTAGCACTTTAGATCGGAGTATGTTAGTTGGTAGATTTACTTTTGACCAGGTGTGACCTTGGCTGTTTGCTATGCCTGCATCGGCTAAATAGCCGATCGCCCGTACTTTAACGCTTACAGTGTGTATTCATGATTCTGTTAAATGCGAATCGATCTGTTTATTTTAAAGGTTCGATCTGTTGTCTTTATCATGGCTGCTATCGATCCAGCCAAACCCCACTATTAAGGATAACAGGTTAGATCTGATGAGTTTATAGATCTGTCCGTATTAAATAGTCGATTGCTCACATGCTGTAACCCCTTTTCTACCCTCGCTTGTGCTTTCACGCATATAACATGTTTTAATGAACCTGTCAACATATAGATGGTTTTATATATTTTTTGTTTTAGTTTGTTATCATTATCATAGCTGTATCGATCCGGTCGAACCTCACTACTGATTATAACAGATTAGATTCAGATCGTTTGTAGATTCATCTATACTAGACATTTGATTTGTTCGCATATTATATCTTCTCTCGTTAAATTTATCGGCTCAATGCTTTACACTGGTTATATCCATCTAGCTGAAGATGTTACTTATATCTAGGTGCATTATACTTGTCATTATAAATCAATCATGACCCGCGAGTGTCATAGTCCTTAATAGTCGATTTCTTCTCGTATCGGCTATTTTGTCGATTTTCCTCTCTGACTGCTCCCGAAGCGGCACACTTGAAACTGTCTGCGTAAAACTGGCATGTTCCACCCTAAATTACTAATAAACTTTTCTCCAGTTGTCAATTGCATGTCAAATTGATTGGCACGCCCTTGGGAACTCATAGGATCGACCGCTCCTACGTTGAAGCCAGACAGATCTCCAGATCGTTCTGGCTTGCTGCTTGTCCACCCGGCGCGGCTACCAAGTTTTAACGCAAACACACTTTTTGGCACGCCCGATGGGACTCCACAATCGTCATGGCAACTCACAACAACAGGAACATCTTTACGATGCCTTATGAAGACCTACCTGATGAGAATAAAGATGTCATCAGCAAAGCTATAGAAGAATTTCAGAACAAATATTTGTTGTCCTACACCAAGACACATGACAATAAATTTGTTCAAAAATATCCACTACCAAGAGTTTTAATACATGGGCAGTCAGATACAGACGAAGCTGATGATAGACGTTTCTTCGTGGATGCTATAAATAAATCTATTCATGATGCCATGTTGAACCATAATACACCTTTCTTGAACACATTCCATAATACCATGAAAGAGGTGTTTCATGGATATCCAATTGATCAGGTTGGACCGGCTTATTATAACATTCCACATCCGTTGACTCAGAGGATTACTCAAGCCAGTACTAGCCATCAAGAAGCAGCACTAACTGATAATGATGATGTCCAGGTAGTTTAGAGCTCATCTGAGCAAGTTCAAGGTATCACTACTAATCAAACACAAAATAATCCTGGATCATCAGTGCAGTATGTGCAATAGCCAATGGAGCAAGTTCAGAATCAAATGGTTAATTTTGGCACATCAGGCCAAATACTGTCGTCGGTTCAAAAAATAGCGCCATCAGTTCTAAGAATTCATAGAGATACAGATCCCAACATCTACAACCAGAGACTCTAAGCAGCAAATCAGCAAAGGACTCAATAGATAGAAATTCCGCAAGGATATCATTATGGCACAGATTACAATACCCTACATATGATTCCAAATCCAGGTATCAAGGTACCTAGAATTTTAATCCGCAGATGGGTCAGCAATTGCAAAGAAATTCAGATTCAAATACTGATGAATTGTTGCTCAGAGTGACCGAGATGATGAAGAATCAGTACGGTTGGAAACCAAAAGGGCAGACCTTTTCGTACAAACGTTCATATCTAGAGTGGTATGATTTGGTTGCTCTTTCTATAAATTACAGGCTCCTGGAATTTGCTAAGTTCACTAGTCAAGATAGCACAAGTACAATAAAACATATCAGTCGGTATCTTACATAGCTAGGCGAAGCATCCATTGAAGAGGCTCATCGAGTTTGTTTTCTCTCCTTGTCCCTGTCAGGACCAGCTTTCACCTGGTTTTCATCATTACTAGTTAATTCCATTGCCAATTGGACTGACTTAGAGAAGAAGTTTTATACATATTTCTAAACTGGGACAGGAGAAAAGAAAATCACAGATTTGACGACCATAAGGCAGAGAACTAATAAATCGGGTGCCGAGTTTCTTCAGAAGTTCCAAGAGACCAGAAATTTATGCTTCTCATTGAATCTGACTAATGATTAGCTAGCTGTTTTAGCTATTCAAAAAATGTTGCCAACATGGAGGGAGAAGCTGCTTGGGCAAGAGTTTGACAACTTAGGTCAGTTGGCTCAATGAGTGGCAGCACTCAATAGCCAATTCCAGAATATGCGTAGAGATACTCGATTCTAGAACAGTGCCGCAATTGCTGAAGACTATAATCCATATTCAGTTGATGACGGCGATGAGGACGATGAAGAAGAAGAGATTGCTGCGGCCGAATGGAATTGGGGTAAGAAGATAGTGACGGTGCCAAATCCTTAGGGAAAAGGGGTTGAAGAGAGCTATGATTCGACGTCACAAAATCGGACAATGTCTTCGATTTCTTTCTTGAGAGGGGACAGATCAAGTTGCCCGCTAATCATGTTATGTTACCTCCTGATCAGTTGAAGAATAAGAAGTTATGCAAGTTTTATAACGCTACTTCTCATTCTACTAACGAGTGCAGAATTTTCTAGCAACATATACAGAGGGCTATTCAGCAAGGAAAGCTTAAATTTGATACATCTCGAAAGATGAAAATTGATGATAATCCTTTTCCAAGAGATCAGAATATGGTCGATGTTAAGTTGCTCAAAGGAAAGACTAAAGTCCTAACATCAACCAGGGCAAAAGAAACCAGAACCATCTATCAAAAAAATACAAATATCGGCTGATGAATATAGAGAGATTAAAAGATGCCATGACTCGTAGAAGAGCCGATATGAGCAGGGAGAGACGTCAAGGGACGGGACGATAAGGCCGTGTGTCACATCTCGAATTTTGTTGAATAAATGGCAACAGCAGAAGGAAAAGGATTATCAGCGTTGGTTAGAAGAGAAGGAATACCAGCGTCAACAGGAGAAAGAGAGGTATGAAAGAAACCAAGCTGAATCACATTGGAATTGTCCTTTCTTCATACATTATTGGAATAAAGGTTTAAAATTGCCTATTAGAAATAATTGCCCAAAATGCAGTGAGCAATATTGGGTGTTTAGGCAATCTCAAGCCAACCACCGGTGTATCCATGCTCGAGATGAGTCTCATCATATGGATCAGCGCTTAAAGAATAGAAATGTTCACAATTAGCTCAGAAAGCGAGTTGTTGATCAAAATTGAGCTAATTATGAAGAAGAAGATAATGAAGAAGAGTATGTTTGGCAGGAAGGGCAATGGTGTCCAAGAGGTTTGGCAAGAAGCCAGAAAAAGAAGGATACAACGCCTAAGAAACAGAGAGTTAGAATAGGCTCAGGCATCTGGCAGACCTCAAGTGTGACGTGCTAAACAAACAGCCGATAGGGGTCAACCGTCGGCTAATATTCAAATGGCTTTTCTGTTGTCGTTAGAATTTAGAGCTCCAATAGACCAAGAAGTCTATTTAGATTTTGATTATGAGGAGATAGTTGCCAAGTTGACAGTTGTATAACAAGCTATATTTGATAAGCCAGTCAAGCATCGGCACTTAAAAGCTTTATATGTGAAAGGTTTTGTTGATGGGAAGCCGATGAGCAAAATATTGGTGGATGGAGGTGCTTCTATTAATCTTATGCCTTATACTACTTTTCG